TCAAATAGCTGCTGCTCACATCCCACAGAGGAGATGCGCTGGAGAGAAGAAAAGGCCCACTTGCTGGCATCATAGGCATCTACAATGGTAAATCAGGATTCATGTCAGGCCTCAAACAAAGGCTCCTCGGTGAAAACTTACACTTCTTTAAGTAGGCCCAACGTACCAGACCATGAATTGATCAACGCAAGTGGGAACACTGAACACCAAGTGGAGATCAATACACGGCTGATAGAGGCTAGAATCCCAAAGCTGCACTTCCAAGAACATGTGCTTCAAACTGTAGGGAAATGAAACACCTGGAAGGGCCACAGGTGCCAGGGGTGATGCTTTCACCTCTCTTTCACTTTTGCTCACGCTGACAAATAGCTATGTCTTCATCAAAAACTGGAAGCACTAACTGTGCCAGCTCAGGCCCAGTGGATTTCAGAATTATCGGGAGGTTTGGTATTCATGTGTTTGCCTAAAATTTGCACTAGTGTTAAATTAATTAATTAAAATCAGCATGAGATCACCATGCTAATCAATCAAAATTATAACCACATGGGAATAAAAATGTGCAGTTTGCCTCCAACCAGAAAACCATGCCTATGTTTTCATTTTCCCTTAATTCTGACTAGCATCTGTCAATCTCCTGAGCAACACAGGCTGCAGAAGCTCCTAGTGGGAGAAAAGGCAAAGTAGAAATGTATCTGGTAGAAAAGAAATTTTAAGGAAGAAAAAAACAAGGAAAGTAAGAAAAAGCAAAAAAATGAACAAAAGGGCTCAGACATAAAGTTAGCAAGTGACTCTACAAGTACAATAAGATGTCTGCATAAGAAGCACAAACTGAATGCTCATTGGTTTGCCCTGCTCTGCTACTGTCTGGGTGATTGTGTCAATGACACCAATAAACTGCCCTGAACGATTAAAACCTGTTATTTCAGAGATTTCAAGACTTTTAAAAATCTCCTCCTATGGAAAAGTCCAGCATTTGAAGCAATGCTATGAATTAAAGCATCAGCAGCATAGGTTAAATGCATTTATCATTGGGGATGGCAAGTAGCTGTGTTTATTCAACAAAAAATGTTAGCAAAACAGCGCCTCCCCCACAAAAGCAATCTGAACAGTGCTGGGCTTCCCAGGAACAGCACAGCGCTGCTACCTAATTCCTGATAAGTGAATACACCTATTTAATTATTTAAACATCCATCGATTTCCACATTGATGAAAAGTCATAATTATAAAAATGGCTTAAAGCACCAACCTTTTACTTTGCTGACTCTGTCCTGTGGAAACAGACATCAACTTTATATATTAAAGCTGCTCTCTCAATAAATAGTTGATAATGCGAAAAACATGTTGTGCATTCCAAGACGTGCGTGTTTGGTAAGTGCTGCATGAGGCGTCCAAGGTAAATGTCAGTTCTTTTCTAGCATTACTGGCAGAAACACACATTACCTGTATTTCCATCGTGTGTTTATCATCATGATTCTGGAAAATGTAACTGTAACCCTTCATTCCTATGAACACCGGTTCCCCCAAAGCAGGTCTAAATAGAATGAAAAACCCAGCTCCTATCCAATTCTCCCTGAGGAGGATGAAATGAGAATCAGCTAAGTTTATTGCCTTTGATTGTGATTGTTAGAGGTGTGGAGACAGTGAGTTTAATAGCCTAGGTTCCCCGACCTACTAGAATGTTTCTCACTGAATCCCAAAATATACAGGTAATGAAACTCTGCCTCCTCAAGAGAAGCAAACAAAGTGCATTCTTTGGGGAAAATGAAGCAAGGTAGAGGCAGCTGAACACTGACGAGCATGGATATGTCAAATCGGAAACTTAATTAAAAGTTGAAGTGAATGGAAACCCCTGCAGTATCTGCCAGCTTAGCAAGGCGGCACACAGGCACACAGTGGCACACCAGCACTGTCCCTCCAGAGGCCTGCTCTTCTCTCACAGCATCTAAAACCCCTCAAGATGAACATACCAATCCCACAATCTTCCATTCTGTACTGAAAACAGACAAATTGGACCTAACAAGTTGCTATTCCTGTGCTCAGTAAAGACAAGCAGAAAGAAAAAAAAAAGGGAATTCTGGCACTGAATACCTAATATATTATAATAGGCTAAAGCAGTGAAAGCCATGGTATTAAACACAGAAACAACTGATAAAACACTCTGATTTCTGAAGCCATGACAACAAGGTACATTGCCAAATGTCTGTGTTTACATTGATGAAGTCAGTAACAATCCTGCTACCTCAAATTATATCACCTGATAAAAACATGTTACCAAAACAGCAGTTTTCCCAGTCTCTAAACACCTTAAAATAGATGCATGGCCAACGATTATTTAACGTATATTTACAATAACTACTTTGCAAAGTGTATGCCTTAGTGCAAAAATGACTAAACTTCCATTCTAAAAATGAACATACTACATTGATCCACAACATGAAGTGTCAATTAGAGACTACATAAAATACATAAAATTATATGGTGGTATACAGCACACCTTACTTAACCGAAAAGCAAGTTTAAAACATCCTAGCCTTAAAAGTGCAATTACACTCTATTATACAACATAGTATTGTCACCTTTGAGTCCCCTTAATACAGCGTTAATGCATTTTCCAACCAAATTTTCTAACTCATTTTGAAAGCACCTTAATTGTTAAGGACACAGTGATATGATGGCAGGTGCACAGAGTTCTGACTTAGAGGAGTAACTCCTCATGCAAATGGCCAGAAACTTGAGACTTAGCAAAAGAGAAGCAATTATCCCCTTGTTTTTCCAAATGGTGTTAAGTCTCCTACACTCTGAGCACTCAAGTCTATTCCCATTCATACTCTGAACTCTCTAAACCAATGTCCTCTGCTAATTTTAAGAACACAGAAACATTTGGGGATAGTGGACCAAGAAGGCCAAAGGGCAGCTGAAAAATGCTCCCCAAGTGGTCTAACATGCCCTTCCCACCACTCACAAAAGTCCCTGCCCAATAACCCAAAGTCATGAGTATTTCAGAACCCCCAGAGCAGACAACTGCAAACCACAGGGCTAGGGTGGACACCCACCCTGGAACTCAATGCCAAGCAACACCTCACCTTTCCCTAGCATCAGATTACAAAATGCCAGGCAGCAGCAAGAAATGATAACAAAGCCATAAACAGCTGGAAATAATTACACAATTGTCAAGCTGCAAACATGACAAAAGCAAAGCAAGGCTAGTGAATTCAATATCAGAAAGGATGCTGATGAGAAGGTAAGAGAAAAATTTTAGCTGTTTCCAATTTACTTTTATAGAGTACCAAATAATAGGGTTGGTGGAGTTTTGTGCAGTGTGAGCATGTGTGTGTGTGTGTGCACGCACGCATGTGTGTGTAACTTCAGAGAGAAAGGAAAAAACATATTTTATGTGTTCCTAGAAAATGTGAGATAAAAGATATGAAAGCACAACCAAAAAAATATTAACAAGCTCTGAAGGGATTCTTTTAGAGTTGCTACAACTACAACGTGCAGATGAGAAATATTTCTTAAAAGTTACACAAAACGTTATCTTCTTTAAAAGCATAAGAAAAATACACAGGCAATGCCACAGTCCAGAATTCATCACATCAAACACCTGACAAGTGGGCAAAATGCCAAAGCAGAAGACAGACTGGTCCAGATTCAAAGAATGCTAGGGAAAGAGGCAATTCCTTTAAGTGCCGAGGTGGGTCACAGGTATGTAAATTCTCTTCTTCCAGAAGGGCATTTCGTAGCCTCAAGTGTTTACCAACTGCCTACAATTCAAAAATGCCTTCCGAGACAACAGGGTCGAGCAAACAATCTTTCCATGGTTTCAATGAATAAGGCTATTGGCGATTTTTAAACCAAAATAACTTCGGTCATTCCATGGTGAGCCAACGCTTTATTACAATATTTGGATTTCATGGGGCAAACTGTTTCATACAATGTCCCCAAAAATGCTACTCTCCGAAGTGGAATGCCATAAATAAAATACGTACTTGGTTACCAGGCAGCATGCATAACACATATGGTACATTGGCCCAAAAATCATATTTTAAAAATGCTTAAAAGTTAATGTAACAATTTAAGCTGTTTCTACCCATTTTTAGAGAATTTTTCCCTGAAGGCCAATTTTATTTCCTATCAAGAGAATATTTGGATTAATCCTGTTGATCTGCTAACTTGAAATTCTTTGAACTCCTCTAATCTCTCCTCCTCGGCTCTTTTTTTTTTTTTTTACTTTATTTCCTGAAGGGGAGAATGAAGGACCATATATTTCACAATGTAATTTTAAGCTTATGCTTAAAATGCTGCCTGTTTGAATTAAAATTGATGCAGCTTCTGATAAAAGCCTAATAATCAATTCTCCGTTCTCATTACTCTCCAGAATTACATGGATGCAGACCCATTTCTTAAGTTTGTGGACTACTCTCATAGGTTATTACCCAGCAGTGCAGCTGAGTGGAAAGATAACCACATTCATTCTCCTTATCTGTAATGATGTAATGCATCCCAGCCCTGGGTCTAGATGATTGGGGAATAATGGGATTGTACAACTGCAGGGATGACAAACAATAGTGCAGCCTCTTTCTCTGGTACACTGAACCCCACGCCTCCAATGCAAGGTGAAAGGCATCAAAAATAGGCACCGAGTCTGCCCCTTGGATGAAGTTAGCATTTTTTGGCCCGAGGAGCATCTGCTCTGGCACTGAAACAGCAATACCAACACGGAGACAAGAGCCATGCAAAAACACTCAGTTTCCGAGCCCCAGCCAGGACAGTGCCAGTGAGTATCCTGCTTTTCTTTGTGTTTACAATCAAGTGTCATCTAAAAATAACCGGTTGGTAGGAAGAAGTCACTGCACAGTACCATGCCAAGAAACCCGGGGATCAGAGACTCCTCTGATAACTGATGCTGCTCGGGGCTCACGTTTGTTTGGAAAACTAAATCTGCCTCCATTTTCTGTGCCTGAAAAAAAAATCATCGCTTCCTGCTACCACAGAAACCTTACCTTTTGCAGAAGCTGGGAGCCGGAGTACTTAGCAGCTATGGATTTTATCTCCCCACCAAAAGCCGAGGCCCAGAGCTTCACCCTACAGGGAGAAGGGGCACAGGAAGAAATGTAACACCCGTGTTACAGTCAACACGCACGCACACGCACACGCACACACGGGGCTATGGCTGAAGGAGCAGGGCGATGTAACACGTTTTAAAAGAAGAAAAGATAGAAAAAGCGCCTGGGTGGAAACTGCCAGCACCAAACTGCAGAGCGCAGCGCGGGAGGGGACCCGAGGGGGGTCTCGGAGTTGAGAATGGCTCAAAGTCTCCCAGGCTCTCTAAAAAGACCACTGAGTTTCATTTGAATCGTTGCCCGAGGACTCAATCCTCGAAACTGGGCATCACCTGGCAAATAGTCAGAAGAAATCCACCCCTCCCCCCTCCCAAAAAAGAAGTGGGGCGGCAGGGGAGTAAAGAGGGGGGTAATTCAGCGGCCCATGGAAGTTGGATTCGGTAAACAGGCTCCAAAGTTGGTGCCGTAACTTGAGGTGAGCCTCTCCAGATCTCACTCGCCAACCTGCCGCCAGGGGCCAGAGCATCCCACCCCGGCCTCGCAGCCCGCCGCCGGTCCCGAAAGGCAGGTGCCAGCGATAAGGCCGACGCCCGCGGCGGGTCCTGTCCAGCCGCACCTGCAGGCGCTCAAACTTGGGCACAGCGGGTAGCGGACGGCCGGGTCCCCTCCCCGGGCGGCGCAGGAGCCGGCACTTACACGGAGAGCGGTATCTGCTGCTCCGAGCGCACCACGTCCCCCAGCGCGGCGTAGAGAAGCGCGGCGGCGAGGAGCGCCGAGGCCCCCCAGGACGCGCGGCGCGACGAGCCCGGCCAGGCCATGCTGGGCTCCCTCCGACGCGCCCGCTGCGGCGGCGACGAGAGCGGCCACGGGGAGCTGCGCGGAGCGGGCGGTGGGCGAGCGCGCGGGGCTGCCTGCTTCGCTCCGCGCCGCGCCGCCCCGCCTGCCTCTCGCGCGCCCAGCTCACTTGGGGAGCAGAAAAAGGAGCGGGTGAGGGGGCGGGGAGGGCGGAGAGGAGGAGGGAGGGAAGAGAGGTGGGGAGGGAGGCGGGCGGGGGAGGAGGCAGCTAGACGCGCCTCTAGCAGCGGCGGCCGCCCAGCCCCGCCTCGGCGGCCCCGGGGAGTCCGGCGGGCCGCGGCGGGAGGGCGGTGGGGCGGGAGGCGCTGCGCGGGCGGGGACTCGCAAACTCCACTGTCCTTGGCCGCGGCGGAGCGCGCCCTGCCCCGCCCGGGCCACTGCGGCCCCTGAGTTCTTTACAACTCCGCAGTCTGCCACCGCGGGCGCGACACTCGGCTGGCAGAGGGCCGGAGCGACCCGAGCGGGAGTGGGGGTTGGGGGCGCGGGAGGGAGGCCGAGGGTAGGGCGGGGCACTCCGCACTTTGCGGGCGGTGGCTCGGATCCGGAGTCAAGCGCGGAGTCCGACCCTGGGCCGGGCGGGGTCAGGGGCCACGGGGTCGACAGCCGCGGACCTAGAGGGGGCGCGCCCTCCACCCCCGCCACGCGATTCTCCTGCCGGGAGGGAAGAAGCCGAACGAAGTCTGAGGAAAAAGCACGGGTTCGCGGCGGCAGGCGGGGTCGCACGCGGGGCGGAGCGGGCCGGGGATGGGACTAGGTGGGAGCTCGGGGACTCTGGCGAGGGCAGCGCTGCGTGACCACCCGCAGCTGCTGTCGCCCGACAGGGGAAGGCGCGGAGGGCGGTGCTGCCACCGCGGCGCGGGCGCACCAGCGCGGGGCTCCCAGCATCCCGCCGCAGCGCTGCCGCCCCCGGCGCGCCCGACCCAGGCCCTGGGGCACCCCAGTGGCCTGAGCTCTGGCTCGCTGCGCTCGGAGTCTGCCCGGCTGCGGCGACTGGCGGGGACTGGGATGTCAGGGCTGGGAGAGAAAGCCAACGAGGCTCCCAGTCGATCCTGACCGGTGGACATCCTGGATTTCGGGATAAAAGATTTCTTCGAGCCTAGGGATTGCCTGCTCGCCTCTCCGGCGCCCACTGCACTGGGCAGGAGGCAGTGAGCACAGGAGGTGGCACCTTTTCGCCCCCCGCAGAGGCAGGAGCTAGGAGAAAGGAAGTCGGGGAAGCCCCTGCGCGTCCGGGGAACCAGCCTTTCCCCCGCCTCCCTGGCCGCCGCCCCCACCCTGGGATCCAGCTTGCAGAGACCCTCTCCCCCGTGCGAGGTCTGGGGTGTGACTGGGAACTTTGTGGAGCCCTCGCGCAGGCTGGCGGTGAAGACCGACCTGAGTGAGGCTGAGTCATCCTTGCCCGGCGGAGCGCAACTCCGGTGACCCTAGAGAGGAGCGTGCTCCTAATGTCTCCTGGGGCTCCCGGCGCACCAGACGCCTGGGTTCTCATTTGCATGGGGGCTTTGCTTTCTGCCCTGTCACCCGCCCTCGGCCTCAGCACCCACAGGTTGCAGGGAAGTGGGTAAGGATGGGCTCCAGCTTCCGCCAGGTGGTGTCCGGCTAGGATCCAGGCCGGCTCTCCTGCCCAGCAGTCCCTGGAAAAAGTTACCCCTGCAGATGTTGGGCTTGATCTCAGAGTTGGCAGCGAGGGAGAAGGACTGCTACCGAGGGGCCCTTGGTGCTTTTTCCGAGTGCGGGCAGACCTCGAGCTCTCTTGGGGTCTGGCGGGTCGCGCTCCCACCTTGGGGGGCAGCGCGGGGGGCAGCGCAAGGAACAGGCCCCACTCCAGGAGCCCCAGGTGCGCCTCAAGCACGGGCAGTGTCTACGGTCTCTATGGATGACTAACTGGTTATAATGAATTCTCCGCTTCTGTGCATACCCTCCACCTGAGGAAGCGGGCCCGCCCTTTCCAAACCCAGCCAAGCGCGGCCTGAACCCCGAGGCAAGGGGTCCCAGGGCTTGGACCAGGGGGTTAGGAGAAAATTTGTTTCCTGTCAGGAACGCGGGATCATTCTTCCTAAATAAAAGCATAAGTGAATGAACTAGTGAGTGAATGCATACTAGCTCTTAGGAAGACACACGTTTCATTTATGGTATCTATATGATAACAGCCCTTCATGACTTCACTCATTCATGCAGACAATAACTGTCAATCATCTTCTATTGATAGGTACAGTAGGACATGCTAGGCAGCTAGTAGTGAACAAATCAGACGACCTGTCCTCACAGAGTTTACACACTACAAGGAGGACAGGCTTTACTACTAAAACCATAATGGTAAATACACGATTATACACTTTGACAAAGGAAAGAATACTGTGTATGAAAAGTACCTGTGAGAGCCATACTGTTGTTATGCCTATTAATTGATGAGAACATGGAGGCACAGCAAAATCTTACAGCTTAGTCATATTTAAGCAACCGCTTGACTTCTGGACTATACTGAAGGCCACTTGGACATTAAGGTCATGAAGATATTTCATAATAAAGTCACTATGCGTTGCCAGCCTGACACAGGTGAATTTTGCAGTTGTTTCGGGGCAACTAGAGAGCAGGCATGAGAAAGGCCAGGCACAGGAAGTCATAGTCTCAGGTGGACAGTTTTGAGCATGTGTAACACACGCAGACGATCTTGGGCAGAACATTATGCATGGCACATTTCAGATGGATCCCGCTAATCATTTCCTAGTAACTCAAAAAATGTTTGAACTATCTGATATTAATAAACTCAGAACTCAAGGTGTCCAAAGATTTGGGGTCTTACCACTTACATATTGTGATATTCTTTCCAGAACCACAAAAATCAGTGCTGAAAGGGGTCTATAAGCTATCTAATACCACAGTCTTATTTTAACCGAGAGGAAAATGAGGCCCAGAAGGATTTAGCCACTTGTCCAAAGACGCATACCCCTTAAAGAGAATGTTCTCACTTTGAACCAGGGAGTTCCAGCAGCTACATGAGGACAAGGGACCAGGAGCACCTTCCAGTAAGCCAAATGTAGTACCAGGGCATTGGGTGCTACTTGCCATTTTCACCCAAAGGCTTGTATTTCAACACCCAACTCTCAGTTGAAGCATGGAATCCAGCCATATAAAACTTTCATTGGTAGACCTATGCACTCCATCCCATCCAGCTGAGGATGTCCCACTTCGTCCTGCAACAATGAGGAGTTGCTTGAGGAGTTTGGACAGAAGTGAAAGATGATGAAACAGAAATGAATGTTTTAGAAGCATTCACCTGATCCTGGCATACGGAAGGGATTCTGGAGGAGCCCGTAAAGCAGTGGTTCTCGTCAGTGTGTGAGAGGGCATTGCCCCTGGCAGCATTTTGGACAGCTGGGACTTTTTTTTTTTTTAAGACTGAGTCTTGCTCTGTTGCCCAGGCTGATGTGCAGTGGCACATCTAGGCTCACTGGAACCTTCACCTCCTAGGTTGAAGTGATTCTCTTGCCTCAGCCTCCCAAGTAGTTGGGATTCCAGGGGCCCATCACCATGCCTGGCTACCTTTTGTATTTTTAGTAGAGACAGGGTTTCACCATGTTGGCCAGGCTGATCTTGAACTCTTGACTTCAAGCGATGTGCCTGCCTCAGCCTCCCAAAGTGCTGAGATTACAGGTGTGAGCCACTGTGCCCAGCCTAGTTGGGATTTTTTTCTGTTTGTCATAATAACTTGGGGTCCTACTGGCATTTAGTGGATAGGGGCAGAATGGGCCCATAAAAGGACTTTCAAATGCCCCACTGGACATTCAGGTAAGAGGAAAAACCCACTTATAACCATCTGAATCTAGAACTAAAAGCCATTTTACACATAAATTAAGAGAGAGTTTTTGCATGGCTTTAATAAAGACTAAATATTCTAGGAATGCAATCATGATGTCAGTAAAGGCATGGGTGTCTTCTGTTTTGTTCAGAATCTTACCAAGAAGTTGTTTGGTTGCTTCTTGAGGTTTGTTTGATTTGTTGTTTTTCATTTTGGAAAAATCTCCAACACCAACTGTGCTCACAGATCCTGAGTTGCCAACACACACACCTGTATCAGTCTGCATCTGGGGTGTGGCATTCAAAGTTCATCTCCATATAGGCACAGACAGCTAATAACATCATTAGATATTGTAGTTAAATCTTGTGCAAGCATTTCACATAGTTAAATAATTCTTATTTTATTATAAATTACTTTTATTTTACTTCTCTTTGCTATTACCAAATAAGGCATCATATTGTCTTTTTAAAATTCTGACTTTAATTAAATTTTATTGTCTCAGAATTTCATGTCAGGATAGTAAAGTGCATGTTGAGTCTATCTGGGTGAATATCTATTGTGAAAGGAATACCAGCTAAAAGGTTAAGATGTTGCTGATGAGGAAGCAAAATGGTTCAATCAAAAAGAGGAAAATGGCAAATGCTTTCAAGTTTAACCCAGCAATTTCTTTGCTGGAAATTTATCTTATAGTTACTGTATTAGTCCATTCTCATGCTGCTAAGAAGAAATACCCAAGAATTTATAAAGAAAAGAGGTTAATTTGTAAAGAAAATACCCAAGAATTTATAAAGAAAAGAAGTTAATTTGTAAAGAAAAGAGGTTTAATTAATTCACAGTTCCCCATGGCTGGGGAGACCTCAGGAAACTTACAATCATGGCAGAAGACACCTCTTCACAGGGCAGCAGGAGAGAGAATGAGTGCAAGCAGGTGAAATGCCAGATGTTTATAAAACCATCAGGTCTTGTGAGACTCACTCATTATCACAGGAACACCATGGGGAAACCACCTCCATGATCTAATTACCTCCACCTGGTCCTGCCCTTGACAAGTGGGGATTATTATAATACAAAGTAAGGTCTGGGTGAGGACATAAGAGCAAACCACATCATTCTGCCCCGGCCCCTCCGAAATCTCATGTCTTCACAATTCAAAATGCAATCACGCCTTTCCAACATTCCCCCAAAGTCTTAACTCATTCCAGCATTAGCCCAAAAGTTCAAGTCCAAAGTCTCATCTGAGACAAGGCAAGTCCCTTCTGCCTATAAGCCTGTAAAGGAATCAAAAACAAGTTAGCTACTTCCTAGATACA